GCAAAATAATCATCAAGAACAAATACAGCATGCACATGTGTTTCTGCCTGTAAAAACAAAATGTGATCATTCAACTGTTCACGTTAGTGTAGTAGGTTATCGGTTGCCATGAAAGTATTGATGGGTTATCAGTTTGGTTGATCTAGAAAGTGAGAGGAATAAAGATTTGGCTTTTCTGGCTTAGCTAGAAAAGAGAACAAATTTGCCACGGAGTGATAATAAAATGACTGTATATGAAAGAAGGCCACAGTGTTACCCATTGTTCATGAACTACCATTTTAAAACCTTAAATTTAGGAGTCTTGTTTCTTCAAGCAAGACATGACCAGATTTGGATCACAGAGTAGAAGTTGTTAGCTAGCTAAACAACCATGCTGGATGATTTACTATTATATAAAACGGGATCCTTACTCTTGCCACTGTAGCAACTGCATCAAATGGTTTGCATTCTCAAGAAATATGGCTGGGTTGTGATAAGGTTTATTTTTTATAATAATTTTATTTCATGATCATTTCAGTGTTTAATGTAATAAATACATAAATAAAGTTATAGAACTGTAGACTACAAAACTAAAACAATGAGAAAAGAGCAGTTTTGGGTGGTAGATCTCTGTTTCCATGACATATAAGTGTCCCCTTAATGACACAATCCTCTGATTCATTGTTACTATAAAAATGTTGAATACACAAGCTTTAATGGTTGGTAGCATTAGAAAGATTATCAGTGTGAGAGAAAATTAAAGGCAACAATTATCATAGAATGGGAGCACCTGGCTTGTTTAGCTGTTCTTTAATTCACGATTGTACAATAAAAATCATTTTACAACCTATAGTTTTGATGCGGCGAATGCGCTCTTGTTTATCTGTGATGATGTTTTTGATATTAGCCATTATTGTGGGATAATAACAAAGGAATGTTAAGTGCAGGTTAAGGCTCTTTCTCAAACAAGCCTGGCAGTGTGTGAGAGTGGCCTTAACAGTGTATATATACGTGTCTCTTTGTGGTTTTATGCTGCACTGGATGTTCATTCATGTATAGCTCTCATTAAGGGTTGTGGATGAAAGGCTCTAAGCACTTCTGACTGAATGAAGCAACAATACAAACATCACGGCCTGCTTGTTTTTGTCTGGCTTTGACGTCACCGAAACCCACAATCGCCATTATCAGTGCAAGCAGGTCTCTCTTTTGTTCACATAGTCAACTGAGAATCGGTAGCCAGACAGATTTTTTATCACTGGGGCAACCAGAGGCATGATCAGTTGTTGCAGTAAAATATGTTCGAAGCATGAGATGACAGACAGAAAGGATGAGATAAGGGAGAGAGAGGAGGAGGAAGTACAAGTGAGAAGAAACATGATTCCCACTGAGAGGCACGAGAAAAAACACCAAGCCCCAGCGACTGCAGAAAGATGGTGACAAACCGTTTTTCTCTGCACTCAAGTTTGTGGCTGATGGACAGCTTGTTGAGTGCGCTTCGGGGAGCCCAAGGGATTTCTGTATGTTGCCACAAACATATTGATGCAGAAGGAAGCCCGTTCACAACATCTTCTTGCACTCTCAGTGATGCTTAAAACCCAGAAATACTCAGCAAAATACATATGAATTAAAAACGGGGATGCTGTAATAACGGTTTAATGTCGTTAATGTATGAAAACAAACCCAAGGTGGAAGTAATTTTTTAGCCATTGTAAAGATGAAGAAAAAATGCTTTTATCGTGAAAAGCCTCTTGAAAGGGCTGAGTTTTGATCCATGTAAACTTAAAAGCCCTTTAACATCAGCAAATTTGTGTAAATATTTTGTTCATTAATGCAGCCGTTTACATATTTCGTTTAGAATCCACATATATGTGTATATGTTGTCAATATAAACAATGGAAAGGTCAGAGGTCAAATGTGACATGATATTTTAAGTCTTTATATGGTACTTTCTATACATTGACAATACACACAGGAAGAATCAGAGTTTCTAAGACATGAGTTTTCAATTTTTGACTTATAAATCATTACGTACCTCGAGGACCTTGGTGGTTATTAGGGCTGGGTATCGTCACTGATTTCTAGAATCGATTCAATTCTGATTCACAAGGTCCCGAATTGATTCGATCCACGATTCGATTCGATTTGAATCGAGGAAATTTTGCCTCAGACAGTTAGAAATACTATAATTCTGATCACTTATCAGTACATAACTATAAAAAGAACCCTGACACTTGTGAGACTTTATCAAAGGTGTAAGCATCACAGCAGATTCCTTTGTGTCAGTCTAACTGAGGATAAAATACAGAAAAACATGAAGGCGGTTTTCCTGGTCTGGGTTTCTATAGCAGATGACCTTAAAATATTGTGCCGTCAAAAACGAAGTGAAGCAGAGCAAAGTTACAGAGAATTGATTAGAGACACAGCTAAGCATTTTGCAATTTTGCATAATTAAAAACACAACAAAAAATAAATATAATCAAAGATTCAGTGGCACCTGTTTAACTCACCTGATTCGATTCACTTGTTTAATAGCAGGAGGGGGGCGGGTGGAGGTTTGCCTTGTGTCATGTCAGTGGGGGGATTTCTCTGTGAATTTTACATTCCCGTGGCAGCTTGCTAGGTGCTTGCTGTCATGGTCCTGGGTGTTTCCCAGTGTTTTGTGTTTGAGTTCCTTTTCCTGATTATTGGTTATTCGTGGTTTTCTTCTCTTGATGTTATTTGTTGCTCTGGTTTCTAGTTTAAGTCACCGTCTTCCTTGTGTTCCATGTGTCATATTCTTTCTGTCTGTCTCTGAGTATCAAGTCCACGTCTTTGTGAATTGTCTCTTGTTTCCTGTTTTATTTTGATAGTCCCGGTCCCACATGCTGTGACTCTAGTTTTGCTTCCCTTTGTCTCGTTAGGTATAATTAAGCCCAGCTGTGTCTCCCTCCTGTTTCTCATTCCCTGATTGCGCCTGTGTGTATATAAGCCCTGTGTTTTCTCCTGCTTGTTACTGGTCCGTCTGTGGTATCTCCATACAGCTCGCCGGCCCCTTATGGTTCAGCAGTGTCCGCATCGTGGGTCCTTTATTGAATTCCACACGTCTGCCAACTCAGCCGTGACACTTGCTCACATTTGGAGTTTAATTTTTCGCTGTAGAAAGAAGTTTAAGTGTACAGTGGACGCCAATGTTTTTGTCACTTTTTAAGGAATCAAACTCAAAGTAATGTCAGCACTTCCAAGCTTTTATCGCTGCATGGCCGTACTCTGTCCCGCACTCCATATTAGCCATTGTTGATCAACACACATCTGTTGCTGCCACGGACGTCGCACACTCGTACGTCATTGTCATGAGACACTCTCACAAACAAAATCACGGTTTAGTAACACAGCGCGCTTACGGATAAGTAACAGTAATCTAATGACTTTTTTTGCAGTAGTAATCTCTTACTTTGCTCATTACTTGAAAAAAGTAATCAGATTACAGTAAAGCATTACTTGTAACGCGTTACTGCCCATCTCTGATCATATTTACAAACAGAACGAGATCAGTCAGATTGCAATTCCCTGGGTAGGGCAAATGATATGTGATATATTACTCGATAGGGTTTCTTGAAGAATTTTTTCAAGGTAAACTGTAAAACTGTGATTGCTCACCTGTCCAAGTTTGAGAAAAATACACATTGCGATCTACTCTTTCATTACTTTGTCATGAGTGCTCCTTCCTCAGTGTCAGGGCTAATTAGTAGTTAGGAATAAGTAATGAAGTCATGTTGTAAACTGCAGCAAAATAACTCAATAACAGCTTCTTTTGATACTTTGTCAAGGGCGCGAAAGGCTACACAGGGTCCTTTTTTTCATCAAGGAGGGGCTTTGAGGGGCCTTGCGGGGTTTCCGAGGCTTCATCTTACTTGGCACACGATTTGTTTGGGCAGCATGAAAGCATTAGATGGAACGTCGCAAACAAGCCAATGTTATATAAATTTAGGGCCTTGGATGCAAAGTTTTGCTAAGGCTCGATTTCGGAAGGGTAAAAGAAGTTGTGACTAGGGATCTTGCACATGCTGATGTGGAATTAAAAGTTCAGATAAATAGCACGGATCATAAAGTGCCTTAAGAGAGCTTATCCTCTTAAATTCAATACAGTTGCGCCTTTAGAAGATTTCATAAAGTTCGGATTTGTGTCAGCTGCAGGTAGTCAGAATGTTGGACAGTAAGAGGAGGTTAGAGATGAGATAAAGACATGCATCCTTATCTCTTCTCTCCCCTTGTTTACTCTAATGCGCCGGTGAAGCTGAGGGCAGATTGACTCAGGAGTCAACACCCGGTTCAGGCAGATTAACTCGCAATAAGCTCATCTTCATTCATCACCCTGCTCGTCTTCGTGACTCACGCACACATGCACAAATGCGCACTTACACACACACACACACACACTCGTTCAAGGACTGGAAGATGGATCTGGATTGAATCCTCCAATTGGCTAATTCCAGTTTCATGACTATTACTGAGGATCGTCTGTGTGTATGAAATGAGACACAAAACTTTGAAATTATTTTTCAGTCGCTCTGAGCTAATAAAAAAATAAAATGCCAGTGCTCTCACGTTACACTTGGCAGATCCAATCTCATTGTAATTTTCTGCCTGTTAATTTCAGACTTTACCTGCTGCACATGGAATCTTAAAGGAAAACTAGCTAAATTCACTCATTTTTAAATCTTTTTTGCTTTTTTGTAAAGTACTGTTTTTATTGGATGGACACACAGTTTGCTCATTATTATCTAAAATAAAGCAGACAGAAGATTCCAAAATGGATTTCAAGTGGAAGTGCCAACTGGAGTATATTTTTGATAAACATTAAAACTTTGTCCTCAAATACGTAATCTATGTTTTTTCATGCTTGTCTTTGTAAGAGATACACAAGAAATATTCAGATACATTTTGTCTGACACTGAAATAATTGACCTTTTTTTTCAGTCTTTTATATATATTTAAATGTACAAGTCTGCTCGTGACTCACGTGAGTTTGCATGTGTTCACAGAGGGGCGTTTTCAGAGGTGGTCTTGGCCCAGGAGAAGCTGACCAGCCGTATGTTTGCAGTGAAATGCATCCCTAAGAAGGCTCTGAAGGGGAAGGAGAGCAGCATCGAGAATGAGATTGCCGTGCTGAGGAAGTGAGTGCTGTGACACGAGAACACAAACATAAGTCTACTAATTCCTGGTTACCGGGGCAACTGTGCATCTCTGATGCATCATACCCCATCAAGCCCCCCCCTCTCCCCCCCCAGGTCACGATCCACAGCCTGCCTACCCTAATAAAAACAATATTCAGGACTGAAAATTCTGTCAGTGTAGCAGCTGCAAAACATTAACGTCAAGAGTTAGGCTAAGAACACTGTTTGTTATACGGCGTTTCTTGTTGGTGTTTAAAGTACATGTTAGATTCAACTTGACTCTGTTACACAAAGAGCCGAACAAACACTTTTGTGCTTAAGTAACAGAATTTAGAATTTTGCTTAAAGGTCTGAATGAACAGCAAAGTCATTTAAGTAGCAAGTCTCTGCAATCAGCAGGAACATTGCCTCTGCCCAGATACTTGAGCAGTTATTTTGAAGTCATCAAATCGGTTTAAAATCACTTGAAATCTTTGTTGACTTTGCCCCAAAATAAGGTTTCAGTATTTTTATATATTTTCCCCCCATGCCAGTTATACAAATACACACAAAATGACGTGATAATGACGCTTTCAATCACTGATACAATATTATCACAATACTTCACTCACAAAATGATATTATTGTGAATTTTGCATTATACTTAGTATTGCGGTAACATATATTAAATAAAGTTATTTCTAAAAGACGCCATAAATGTTGACATAAGGCAAAGTCAGTCTGCAATTGAGTGGGGTCAAGTTGCCAATTGCATCCAGTCTGTTTCTGATATTACAGCAATTAATTAAAATAAATTGTTTAAAAACTTATGTGTATGTGTCTGCATGGACAGAAATTTTCATTTTACTATTACCTTGCGCTCAGCAGCCTTCCTGTTCTATCATCATCATCATTTATTTATATAGCACTTTAAAAACACACCTGTTAGACCAAAGTGCTGTAAAATACAAATATAAATATAATAATAGATAGCAGAAACCAGATATAGCAATAAAAGTAATAAAAATGTCAGTTACCCACAGAGTTAAAAGCCAGGGAATAAAAATAGGCTTTTAATAAGGACTTAAAAACTGGCACTGATGAAGCCTGTCTAATATGGAGAGGAAGGTTATTCCAAAGCATCGGCGCTGCAGCAGAGAACGCTCGGTCTCCTCTAAGTTTCAGTCGTGACTTTGGGACCGAAAGCAACAACTGCTCAGCTGACTGAAGGGAATGAATGGGGACTTGGGGCTTCAACAAGTCAGACAAATGAACAGGTGCCAGACCATTTAGAGATTTAAAAACCAATCAAAGGACTTTAAAACGGATCCAGCATTTTGCACTAGTTGCAAGCGTGCCTTGCCCAACCCCTATTAAAAGAGAATTGCAATAATCTAAACGTGAAGTAATAAAGGCATAAATAACACTTTCCAAGTCACTCTTGGAAAGAAAGGGCTTAACCTTCGTTAAACGTCTGAGGTGATAGAATGCTCATTTTACCACCCCGTTTACGTGGTCATCAAAGGTAAGTGCAGAATCAATTTTTACTCCGAGATTTGTGATCAAACTCTTTAGTTGGGAAGTTAAAAGCTGCAAGATCAACATCTGGAGCGAGAAAAAAACGATTTGGGCCAAATAAGATCGCTTCTGTCTTCCGATCATTAAAATTTAAAAAGTTTTTTGCCATCCATGCTTTAACATCACTAAGGCAGTCAAGCAGAGGTTGACTTGGGAGACTATCAGAATGACTAAAAGGTAAATAAAGCTGGCAGTCATCTGCATATAGATGGAATGACACTTTATGTTTTCGGAAAATCGCGCCAAGAGGCAAAAGGTACAGTGAAAACAATAATGGCCCAAGATGTCTGTGAAGGTTCTCAGTCATCCCCTATGTAGCCGGTGTATCAGAGAAACTCAGGAGAGTTTAAAGGACAAAGGACACTCTTTCGAGGATGCCAACGTTCACATTTTGGACAGAGAGGACAGATG